TCCTTGGATTGTTTGATATTTTGAAGTTTATATGGAGAATTAAAAGTAAACCAAAGCATGACAAATAATGCCAACTCAGCCTATTATTTTATCACTTAAATGAGCTATGTCAATAATGTTTAAAGAAAAGTTTATGATATGGATATCTTCCATCTCACAGCTCACTAACCTTGGAAATATTACATCTTCAAGGCTTAGATAAATGGCCATCATCATATGAAGCCTTTCCTCATCAGGCCAGCTGAAAACTTCCCAATGCATGTTCTCTGTACTAACTGCATAGCACTTACTACTTGAATTATAATCAGGATAGACTGACAGACTATGGTAAGGTACAGATCATCCTGAAATTCCAGTGACTTAAAATTTTTTTCTAGTTTATGCCACTTATCTATCATTGGTTGGTAGGAAAGGAGGCATTCTGCTCTAACTAGCCATTTAGAGATTCAGAACCATGACGTCTTCACCGTCTACTAGCTCTACCCATCTGGAACGTGTGGCCTCCTTGCCCGCTCTGCCAAGAGTAGAGAGCTGGAGGTTTGCACAAGTGTTTTGATGCTTTGGTTTGAAATGACACATGATATTTCCATCTGCAGCCCATCGAGAACTAGTCCCATGACCCCACCTAATATCAAGAGGATAAGAAAATGTGGGGAAACAGATAGAATGTTGGGTGAGCACCACTCTCTCTTCCAATAATCCATTCAACAAATATTGATTGAGTGCTTATTATGTGCCAGGTACTCTTCTAGGCCTTAGAATGATACAAAAACATTTTTTTTAAAGGCAAAAATCTCTGTTCTCATGTAGTTTGTATTCCACATTTAGGTTAATACTCATAGTTATTTTTATATATGCTTTAAGAGCAAGTGCTTGTCTTATCATATAATTTGCATATATCTTAAAGTCCAACACATATAATAATGGTTCAATAAATAAGTAAATATAGCTGTTTAATGTCTTCTTGTGCAGGAGTCCATGCTCTACAATTACATACAAAGAATACCCATGACATGTAAATTCTTTAAGTTAGCCATTTTTCTGTAATTAAAATCAGTCCCCTGCTTGATGTCTATGGAGACAAGCTTTGGGCCCTTCAAGAAATTTTTTGTTAAGTATTAAAAGAGTTGCTTCTAGAGTAAAAACTTTTGCTCATGTTCCATCCATAAGTATTATAAGCTCCTCAATTATACACACTTTTTCTGTTTGGAATAATGTAAACTCTGTAGTTTAAATACAGTATTATGGAGCTAAATCTAGGCAATCCTGAGCCCTGATTGATTGAAGTAAGCATTCATTCATTCATTGAATATTTACAAGCTTCTGTTAAATGCCAGGTAGTGTCTGCAAAGATGGATGAGAAGTTTATATCCACAAGAAATCACAATTGCCTGTGTAGGTAAACTGGGGCTTATTCTCGACTCAAAATGAGACTTTGTGTTTATTTTTTCTACTTAACAGTTATAAATTATCCCCTCGTGATGAATGGCAGGGAAAAAAGGTTGAAAACAACTGGTCTTATTCAACCCTCTTTGAATACCTGAATCCTCCCTAGAATACACCTTTAAGAATAGCCACCTGGTTGCTTCTTGAGTATTACTTCCAAAGTCAGTCTATTTCATTTGCTGGTAATTTTAATTATTAGAAAACTCTACATTTATCTAAAATCAAAACTTCCATCTCTGGAACCGTATGTAGTAATTTACATCATTCTTTCCTGAAATGACCCTTAAGATATTCTATGATAGTTGTCAGGTTATCCCCAATCATCTCATTTCCAATCCCTTTGAAATATTGTTTCAAGCTGCTTGCCATTTGATTACTTTCTCTTAAATCTTCCAGTTTGTCAGTGCATCTTCAAGTGTGGTACACCAGACCACACACAAGGATGTTTGGAGCAATGTAGGGTTTTTTGAGTAAAGTAAAATTATTTGAGGTCATAGGTTTATTAAAGAAGTAATGCTTCCTGGAGTAGGCATATTGTAATTATAATTTGAAAGTACAAGTAAGATGTGAAGGAAAGAAAAAGCTTGAGGAACATTTAAGTAAATGCTTAGAAATGGAGGGAAAGGAAGATGGGATCTTTGCCTGAACAGACTAGGGACTGTATTAAAACTAGGAATTAGGTGGAGTAGGTTAAGGTGATTGGGTGCCTTGCCATTCTCTGGTAAGTGTGGTTTTGGATCTAATGGGTATTTCAAAGAAGAGTTTTTAGTGGAATTCTCTGCTATAGCAGAAGGAAGAAACATTAGCAGAGAAATGTTCAAATTTAGTAGGACCACTAAGAAGAGATTGCTATTACCCAGCAAGAGGTTTTTGCATTGAGGTGAAGAGGGTTAGGTAAGGAGAAGTCATGAAAGCAAGAAGACAGGGGATTCTGATGGAGGAGTTTTGGTGAAGTACAAAGCAGAAAAAGTGACCCTTACTTTGCGCTGGAGAATAAGGTCCTTGGCAAAATGATGAAGTAATAATAAAAATAGGTAACACTTATGTAAGGCCTAACTGTGTGTAAGATGCCATTCTGCTTCACATATAATCACACATCCAGTCTTCACAACAGCTCTGTGAGTTAGCTCTGCTTTTGTTATCCCCGTTTTATGGATGAGAAGATTCACCCACAGAGAAGTGAAGTATTTTGCTGAATGTCACATAGCTAGTCAGATGGCAAAGCTGAGATCTTAATCCAGGTAGCCTGGGTCCAAAATCTGCCCTCTTAATCACTAGGTCGTATCTCGCTGTACTGCACTGTGATGTTTGATTGCACCTACCTTCTTTCACATCTTATAAACAGTTCACCTGTGCCCTTCTTTTCTTGCATGGGCCACCTTTCCTGCTCCCCTGAAGGGGCCTTCCTGACCTTTAAAAGAAAAGTATTTCCCTAGTATTAGAAACTACTCCCTGAATGGGCCGAGCCCGGGGTCGAGTGGTTAAGTTTGTGCGCTCTGCTTCGGCAGCCCAGGGTTTCACCAGTTTGGATCCTGGGCGCAGACATGGCACTGCTCATCTGGCTATGCTGAGGTGGCATCCTACATACCACAACTAGAAGGACCCACAACTAAAATATATACAACTATGTACTGGGGGGCTTTGGAGAGAAAAAGGAAAAATAAAATCTTAAAAATAAATAAATAAACAAAAAAAAACTACTCCCTGGAAAGAAGCTAGTAAGCTCATTCATTCATTCTCACCAAAGAATAAATGACTTAATATAATGGTTTAATATAAAATAATACTCTTCCAGGGTTGAGTTTTTTAGGAGTGCAGGGAATGTTAAGTAAGAGGCCATAAAACCTTAACCCAAAACCCTGTTGAAATTTAAAGTATATATGGGCATGGGAGGGTGAGCAAGTTGGGTGTATGACCTTCTATGCTCTTCCAATTATACCGTATTTTAGCTGGCCCAGGGCTGTGGGAATCCTTCTAGTAGAAATGAAATAGGAACATAAAAGTGGGAATGGAAAGAGTGAGAGATACATCTTTATTAAACTGATTCAGTGATATTAGAAATACCCTATTATTTCCCTAATTCATTATCAGATGGGAGAATTCTGATATAACCCCAAGAGACATAGACCCCAGGAGAAAGCTTAGCTTGAACAGTCAGATGAAAAGAGTTAATCCCATTCTGGAGTTTAAGTGTTCATGCATTCACTTCTGAATTGAGGCAGAGCCAAGGATTGATTTTGTTCCTTTATTTCTATAGAAATAAAACCCTCTCAGATGGGTCCATGATTTATGTGCTCTAGGAGTCTTACAATCTGGGAATATTACCCTGATACCTTGATACCTCTCTTTTTCTTATCCCACATCAGTCACTTATCAAGCCCTTTCTTTCTTTACAAGGTTTTTCATATATTTCAATCTAGTTCAGTTAAGTGAACACTTATTGAGTACCTGCTTTATGCCAGATACTATGCTCTGGGCACAAAAGTACCCCTATCTCACGTTCCTCATTTTCTAGGAGAGAGTATAGCATGATGCAAGCCATCATAGAAATGTGTTTAAATACAGAAGCAGTATACAAGAGAGAATTACACTGCTGGGGAAGATCAGGAAGACTTGCAAAGGTGGTGATGCTTGAATAGGGTTTTCAAGGATGAATAGAAGTTCTTCAGCATAATGGCAGGAGAGAAAAATCTTCTAGCTAGAGGGCAAAGCATACACAAAGATGTGGAAGCATAGCACAGTGTGACCTGGCAGCTACAAGCAGTACTGCTATAGAATAGATGAAGTTTGAGTCCAGGGTGGTGTAAAATGATCTGTTTTTGCTTTTTCATTGTCCAGATCTTCATATGCCTAGAGCATCAACTTGTTTATTTCCATGTCTGTGGTTATTGACGTCCTAGTCTTTTCTCGGTACTCTGCTAAAGTCTTGCCTATGTGCCACTCCTTGAGACTCAAGCCACTGTATCTTGATGCCTTAGTATTTGTGTCCAGTATGTGTCCTCAATCCTCAACCTTGCATGGTAGAAACTGGCCTCTCAGTGTGGTGGAAGGAGAAGTGACAGCTTTCATCTACTTGGTCATATAGGTTTCATAATCAGATTTGCATATAATAATTTTGAAAATCCTTAGGCATTAAGGGACTAGTATGAAAATCGTGTTAGTACTTTGTTAGTCACAATAATGTAATTTACTGTACCAAATAATTCAGTTCAGCAAGTGTGCTTTTCTGCTGTCTGTCCATGCACTAGCACAATGCTGAGGAAATACACAATGGAAGAAAACAAGGAAGAGGAAACCTCCCTTCCATATCTGAGAGAAAAGCTATTACTTAAATTTACACTCATCAATTTCTGGCTTTAATCAGCTCTCCAAGAGAGAAAAATCATAGAGACGTGTTTATTCAGTGTCTTCTGTTCACCATAAAATTTGAAAACATAAACACAAAGAAAGACTACTTGCTAAATGAATATGCTGCTTTAAAATGAAGTTATGTGGAAACTACCCTCAAAGCAAACTGACTTTTATGTTAATTTATTTATAACTTCTTTTTTAAGGATGCTGGGCAGTTTTATGCTAAATATAAAGAAACAAGATTGAAGGAAAAGGAAGATGCATTGACTAGAGCTGAACTTGAAACACTTCAAAGTGAGTTTTAAACATTGTCTTATTGTGTTAACAATATCACATGAAAGTAATTATTTAAATTTGGATTTCCTCTTAAATTCAACAGTAATTAACCATTGTCTTACTGTGTTAACAATATCAAATAAAAGTGAGTATTTAAATTTGGATTTTCTCTTAAATTCAGCAATAATTAAATTTTCTGTGCTTTCTTTGCCACCCTCTAAATAGCTACTTGTACTTAAGGTATTGGATGTGGAGAATACTGTATTTGTAATTACTGAACCACCCTCAGTTCAGTATCATCAATGCAGGGCTCCAATCAACATGGGGTCCTATAGTTCCTCGAGTCCAGGAGGCATCCAGAGTCTAGAAAGTGCTACAGTACCCCAGGGCTGTAATTGTCATCTGGGTTTAGTGCCAAATCTATCCAATTGATCACCCAACTGGCCGTATTGCAGTACTAAATGGGAAACCTGAAAATATCTATGAGTTTTGTTGTGAAGGTCTTCGTTTCATTTGCAATATTATTATACACTATGAAAAACCTTCACTAAATTATCAGTGTGTTGAAGCCTTGCATTGAACACTGAAGACAGTTCTTGCTGATTTCAGGAAAAGTTGGACCTACTGTTAAAGAAGGCATTTTCCCAGTTCCGGTCTTTTTACCTAATTTTCCTTATCTGCATCTTTCCCACACACATATGCTCTGTCCCTTTACGTTGTTTTGTTTTTATTCAGAGCCTTTAATTCTATTTAACATTACTTAATTTATTAATTTTGTTTACCGTCTGGTTCCCCCAGTAGAATGTAAGCTTCATGATAGTAGGGACTTCATATGTTTTGTTCACCGTCCATCCAAGTACCTTACAGAGTCCCTGGCACATAGTAGGTCCTTGATAAATACTTGTTGACTGAATTCATGGAGATAAAATCTGTATTCTTGTAAAAATTCCGCTGTGAGTATTTTTGGCTCAGACTTCATTCCCCTCCACCTACCTGGATTCCCAGAGAAGTATATGGTACTGATTTGGGCACAGGAGACAAAAAAAAGATAATTGATACGCAGTCACTTCACGCCTACAATTGTATACACAAGCACCGCATGCGTAGTTTTACAAAACACCCTGTGTGCTTTTGAGGGTGTGCAGTAAAAGCTATTCCTGCTGCCCATGGAAGTAATTTAGCCAAATCACCCTGGAAAACAGCAGTGGTGGTATCAGTGTACCACACATCCAATATATAGAAAAATGGTAAGAGCTGTTTCCCTTCAGATCCTGAAATTCTAGCTTTCTGCCTTTACCCTGACACCAGACCATGGTCTGAGAAGAGAGAAGTATGTTCTCTCCAAACCCAGAGAGTACATTGCCACTACCTAAATGTGTAGCTTTGAGATTTTAGTTTCCTTATCTGTCAATAAACATGTTGGACTAGGTGATGCCAGTATTAGTTTTCTACTGCTGCTCTGACAAATGGCCACAAATTTAGTGGCTTAAACACAAATGTGTTATCTTACAGTTGTGTGGCTCAGAAGTCTGACATGGGTCTCACTGGGCTAAAGTCGAGGTGTATCAGGCAAGGCTGCATTCCTTTTCCAGCTTCTAGAGACCTCCCACCTTGCTCAGATCATGGCCCCTTCCTCCCTCCTCACAGCCGGCAGTGTTTCATCCCTCTGACTGTTCTTCTGTGGTCATGTCTCTGACCCACACTGGGAAAGGTTCTCTGCTTTTAAGGACCTGTGTGGTTAGATTGGGCCCATTTGGATAATTCAGGATAATCTCCCATCTCAAGGGACTCACCCCTAATCACATCTGCAAAGTTCCCTTTGCTGTGTAAGGTAAAATATGCCCACCAGATTCCAAGGAATACAACATGGTCATGTTTAGGGGGCCATTTTTTTGCCTACCGCAGTCCTTTGGGTGTTTGGGCAGCTTTAGAACAGGGACTGTTTCTTTTTCACCTTCATGTCTCCATCATTGAATACAGTATCCTGGCACCTAGTAAATGTTTAAGTGGATGAATGAATGAAGATATGATTTAATGTAATGCTGTGAATATTGAAGGTCATAAGAGTACCTACACTGTATAGAACATTGTTTCAAGGAGCACATAATTTGATTCAAAAAGTTTCAACAACTACAAATACAAAATAATACTCAAATCAACTATATAACTATTTAAAAGCAGACTTTTATTAAGAGGGAAAAGTTTAGGATAAGGGATTGCATAGTAAGGTTGGCTGATGTGTGTGTGAGGAGTAAGGGTGGGCAAAAGATTATTATATTAAACCTAAGACTGAAACGTAAACTGATGTTATAGCAATTGTTGAAATGGTTTTAATTAAATTGAATAAGTCAATGAATAAATGAAACTCTAAATGTAATTTTTATGTAATTGTTATTTTTAAGTAAAATCATTACATAAAAACTTTCTAAGCCTTTTAAGACTAGTCAAAAGGAGGGGGGAAAATTACATTTACAAGAAAAGAGAAAAATATCAAACTAACCCAAAACTTACCTGTAGAATCAGCATGAATACAATAATTTCATTGCTTTCATAGACATACCTTTTTTTCCTTGCAAAATAATTGGCATATAACATTATATTAGTTTCAGGTGCACAACAAAATGATTCAGTATATGTTGCTAAATGATCACCACAATAAGTCTAGTTAACATCCTTCACCACATATAGTTACAGATTTTTTTTCTTGTGATGAGAACTTTTAAGATTTACTCTCTCAGCAACTTTCAAATATGCAATACAGTATTATTAACTTTAGTCACCATGCTGTACATTACATCCCCAGGATTTATTTTATAACACACCACTTATTTTTATGTAGTTTTTTTAACAAACCACGTAATTGTTACAGTGTTGGCAAATATGGATTCTCTAATAATAATGGATTGTCTGCACACTACAACTTCGAAAATAAGCGTGAAACGTAAAGTATTTATCACAATACAAAAACTGCTTTTGAAGTTTGCGACTGTTTTCCAAAATTATTCAGAGATTTTTGTTCTTCCTAAGAGTTTGATTGCAATTCTCAGATTTAATGATATTCTCTTATTTTGTTATTATTTAATATAAAAGATTATGTAAAACAAATTTGAAAATATGTAAATGTCTGAAAACTCTCTGTGCACCAATAAAAATGTGAAATAGTCTTCTAAAAAGTTTGAAAATTCATCGCTAGCTTATCATTTCTTGAAACTCAAAATGGAAAAACTAAATACCAGAAAACATATTAAAAACAATACTCATGCTAGGCTCTGAGTAACAAGACCTCTGTCACTCATTTTGGTATCAATGGTATATTTGGAAAAGGTGATGGTATCAACTTTAAGAATGTTAAAGAACAGCCACATTACTATTAATAATGTCAGAAACTGTCATGTATTTTTTAATATAGTCTCTAATGGTTACATGCAAAGGATCTTTTAATTAATTTTGTTAACTTCATTACAATGTTCTGCATTGTATACTTTAGAATTAATACATAAAGGCCCCAAATCCCCCAGTGTGCATTTCATTTGCCCCATCCTTCTTAATTTTAAGAACCATCATTGGAATACTGAGTTCATAATAACATTTCCATCTGCTTAATTGAGTAAATGCATCTCATGCAGATTAGCAGTAGCTGTTTTATGCTGCCTGGGTCTCATGACCTAATTGCTAATCTGCCCTCAAGTCTGTCTGCTTTACTGCTGAGACTCTGCAGTGTCCTCTGAGGGCTACACCAGAGCTACACTGAGTAGGATGTGGTGGTCTTATTAAAGTGGCATTTCAGAGGGGGAAATTGGGAAAGGGTAATTTCTTAAAAATAAATATCATTCTTCTGGGAAGTCTTCATGCCAAAAAAATATGTATTTGGAAAATTTTGGCATTTTTTATTATAAATTTTTAATCAATTTTGTGTTTTAGATTTAAGTAAGTTGAATATTTATAAATAGACTTTTTCAGTGTTAATGATATTTTTATATATTCTCTAATTATATGAGTTTTATTCTAAGTCAATAGATGTGAATTCTAAGGACTACGATGAAATAGCCCATATCATGAATGGACAAAAATGCATTTGAGTTCTTTTATAAAGAAGTTGGTCGTCAAGGTTAAAATTTGAATAGACAAAAGACGGAGGAGAAAGGATAGAAGTAAAACTTGGTATTTCCTTTATCTTTTTCTCTTTACCTTACATGATTTAAGAACAAACACAAATCAAATAATCAAAACCCTACTGTCAAGCACTTCTTTTTTAATCTGTATAAATAATAGTTCCGAACATTGGTTATGCTTTTCCTCCTGTTTTGTGGTCCCCATTGCGTGCCCCAGTGATGGGCCTCAGTAGAGGTGCGAGGGAGCAGCGAGAAGGTTGGGGACAGAATACGCCTCTTCAGGGCGGAGGGTTGGAACACATTCACCTTCCCTAAGGTTTGCTAAAAACTCAGCTTCGCGAAGAAAGAAGATGCTAGTGCTGATTTGTAAGTTGATTCAGGGGTTGGTGGGGAAGAGGACAAAAGAAATAGGGCAGAGGCAGCCCCAATTTAGGTTAGAACAGTTTTCCTGTGGTAATGTATGGTGCTCGTGGATGGGAGAATACTGTCTGAGATAACTCATGCTAAGGCCTATAACCAGTCAGTACCCCCAGTACATTTGGAAACATGATCAAATAGAAACTCTACCTTAGCTTGTGAACCGTATTATATAATAAAACCTGACAGGAGCCCTAGTCCCAAGAGTTTAGTGTAGGCAAAGAATTTCTTAAAAATAGTGTTATTTCCTAAGTACTTTAATAACAATAGAATGTGAATATTTTAAATCATACAGCTTAAATAGTAATTTACAATTCCCTCAATATTTTAAGTTGTAATGCTGTGTATGCTTAAATATAATACAATCTTAGTTTTCCCATTGAAATGAAGCAAAAAGGGGCCGGGCCCGTGGCCAAGTGGTTAAGTTTGCGCACTCCGCGGCAGCAGCCCAGGGTTTCGCTGGTTCAGATCCTGGGTGCGGACATGGCA